AGGAGCTTTTAAGAAACATGTACAGGGGCTTTTTGTTCAGAGGAGGTTATGAATCATAGTCATCCCAGTAGACTGCAAGAAGTGCCCCCATGCATTTCCAAGGTTGTTACTAAAAATAATTTTCTAATTGTTGCACCAACTGCTTTTGTACATTGCTTCCTTGTGTACCTGCTGGCAAAACTTCCTTACCTCTCTGAAATCAGTGAATTTTGCCTCTATAGTTTATGGCTTGTGAACTTGAAATCCACAGAGGCTTAGGAATGAACACTTTGGAATGGCTGTTTTGGCTTACATCTGTACAGGCAATGCCAAGGCAAAAAAAAAAAAAAAAGCCTTCCTCTCCTTTAGCTGTTAAGCTGTTCCAAAAGGTTTGTAGTCACAATAATAGAATAGACAAATCAAATGTCAATTTTGAATTTAAAAGCAACGATTCCATTTTTAAAGTCAGTGTCAGAATATGCTTGAGCGTTATTTTCTAGTCTGCACTTAGGGTATTAATTAGGAATTAAGGGGAAAAAGAGCAAAGCAAAATGAGCGTGATTTCCGTAGGTACTATATCACCAGCGAAACAGAGTATTAAAAATATTACCATAGTGAGGTACAGAAACCAGATGAACACTGCAAACGAAAGTGGGTTTCTGTGTGAAAGTAGGTTGACTCTAGTGTTGTAGTTCTTCCATAATTTGAACACAGAAATTCTTTACTTCTCCCTCTTTACCCTTAGCGTGTTACATGGGCAGAGGATAATGCGATCCGCACCACAGTTGGCTATACTCCACCAGACAAGCAGTCTGCCAAAAGAGTCCATAGTGCCTTCTAGGTCAATGAAGTTGACTGTAGGTCCATGCTGTTGGGTAGAGTGTGCAGACTGCTGTATCACATTGAAAGAAAATTTTTTTCTTCTGTGCCTTTCCATGTATAAATGAACATTCAGCCAGAAGGAAAGCACTCTTGTCAAAACCTGTTGCACCAGTTCAGACCTGTACGCTCCTGCACCATCTTGTGCTCAGGCATCTGTTTCAGTTTTCTGGTAGTAGTGATACTACCATACTTCACTGTCACTAACATCAGTCACTCACATTTTTACTTCTTTTATTCTCAAGTGTGGAGACTCACCATTCTTTAGGAAAGCAAACAATAGCTTGGCATAATCTGCCAAAGACAAGAATATTGAAGTTTCTTTCAGCAGCAGTTGTTTTAGGGTCTTAGAATACAGGGAAACTTTTCCATGAGTTTCAGTGTTTTGTTGTGTTTTTTTTTTTTCCCCAGTTCATTTTGGAACAGATCCTAACCCCCAAATTGCTTTCATGTGTTACAGGATATTCACTGCAGAGTACAATATTATAACAAGAGCCCACAGGATGCTGAGTATGTACTTACAGGTACATAGCACGCTCTCCTCCATCCTGGCTTCTGCTGTTCATGGGTCCTAGCACACCCATTAATAAATAGGCAATCCTACTTTCACTCTCCATTATTCTTTAGCGCGTCTCAAACAGCATATTCCTTTGCTGCTACATTAAATTAACTGGTATAACATCATAATGGATTTCTGAGAGATGTATACCATTATAAGTGTAGCTAATTCTGTCTTTAAGCTATCTGCTCAGCTTGTATGCTCTGCTGCATGCCAGAAGCCAGCACTCCCTCTCCTCAGTTTACACAGTTGCTCCTGCAAAGACAAAATATTTTGAGAAATAACTTAGTTTGTGGAATTCCAGAAAAAAAATGGATTGTTCAGAATCTGTTGCAGCTGATGAAGATCTTTAGGTTTGCTCCTTGTCCAGCAACTGTTGTGTCTCAATGTAGCCTGATTAGAAAAGGTCTGTAGCCTGATGAAATAAATTTAAAAAAAGAAAAAAAGATAAACGGTTACACATCTGCATGTGTAAGCATTACTGAGGTCTGCATTGACCGGATTACAATACCTGGGTGAAGGAAGTTGGTTTGGAGTGCGGTGCAAAATTTCACAGAGAGCATATGAAAGCAAGCTTTTTCCATGCCAGGAAAGAAAACCATGAAAGGATTTTTTTCCCCAACTGAAAACCCTTGTAAAACTGGAAGTCTGAGCTGGTGGGACACAATTCAGTAAGAGGGGAAAAAGAAGTTTTTTGGCATGGGACTCATTAGTGCAGGAGAAAGCAGTGACTGGAGAATTGCAATTTTGGTGTTAGGTGGTTTTAGAGCTGGAGAGAGTTATTCCATGAGCTTAAAAACTATTATGGCAAGATTTCGTCTCTGTGGAGAGGGACAATTGGAAAAACTGACTGAGACCTGGCTGTTTGCCTGAAAGTGGATGGAACAGCAATGAAACAGTACAGTTTATTCTGAGTATGGTTTATACAAAGGGATTCATAAAAGAAGCTGACAAAGCTACAGACAGAAAATTGGCCAGCATGGCTGCTGAAGGGGAGAGGGGCTAACTGCTAACTTGGAACCACAAACCCTCAAACTTACTATACGACTTTTGGATTTGGACCCGCCTCATTATGCAGCAACACAAAAACAAACCAGCAGAACACACACTGTACTGCAATAATGACGCTGCAAAAACATTATGATAATTTATAGCAGCCTAGACCTGGTGATACTAATGTCTCAAAACAGCTGTACTGAGTGCTTCTTAATTATATACATATAACCTGACTATCATGTCATTGGCTTGAATCAGGCCCCAGACTGTGTTTGGCTTCTGTTCTATGTTCTGGGTAATCAAATTGTTTGAAAACAGCTCAGATGGCCAAAATAGGAAACTTAGATGAGGCATTGCTCTTCATGCCGAGCAGCCTTGTCTCGCACAGGGCAAGGAGCTTCCATAAGGTTTGATCTGGAGAAGACCTGAAGACTGTTTCACAATGTGATGTTTTCCGCTTTCAGTGTTTATAGAAATTTAAGAGCTTCACTCAAAGTTCTTGCTGAGCTAATCATCAGCCCAGCTGAAACACAAAACCTAACTGGGATGGGGTGGAAGACGTCAGCAGTTTGGGGAGAAATGATCTAAAAAAGTAGAAATAGAAAATTAAAAGCTTAGTGGAAACTTTCAATAATGGTTGATGACAGTTGATCTGCTCCAGCAAGTGAGATTAACATCTGCCACAGAGCAGTCAACTGGTTTCTTCAGAGAATTCAGGGATTTTTGTATAATTCCTTTCTTTTTTTTTTGTTTAATTGACTAGTAGCAAAAAGCATCAACTTTATGACGGTACAAACCAATGATGGAGTACAAGCGACACAGAACAGTGGTGTGAGATAGTCTTCTTTTGGCTAGGTTGTTTCCAGCCTGGAGAAAACACGTTTTAGAGAACAGGGTTGATCACGTGATTTTTCAGAGGCAACCATTAGATGGGAAGAGGAAACACGCCCTCACTGTGAACCAGGCACTTCAGGGGTACACGAACATACATGCTTACTCTATTATCCTCACTGCCATACCTGCAGAGTTGTACTCTGGGAAGATTTTGTGAGCAGTTTGTACGTTCCCCCCGTGCAGCCTGAACGAAAGGTGAGCCATCTCTACCACAGTGCTTGTGGGACCTCTGGGTGAAGATACTTCAGTCCGAGTCTGTGATTCAGATGGGAACTCTCTCACGTGAACATTTTAGTTAAGGCCATGAAATTATTCCAGGTTTGAGAAGCTAAATGTGCACTCAAGCACCTTCTAGCTTGATGCCTGCTCTAGTGTCTTAGCTGGGTAGCAAAGGCTGATGCATTAGGGAACTGTGGGGCTTTTTTTCCCTAGGATGTATATGGCTCTTCAGTACCTGTCAATCTTAAATTAGTGTTCAAACCTGCCTGCTGAATACTTACATGCAGCAAACAAGGGGGGGAAACACTGAGTTTGTTATGTGCATTTCAGAAGTCTGTGATGTGGAAATCACGTTCTTCGAGAGGCTAGAGTGTTCCTAAATATAAATTGGCTTCATTGACAGCAGGGAGATGCCAGGGGAATGATGTCAGCTGAGAATCTACTCCTGCATATTTCGCAATATTCAAATTCAATTAAAGTACGGATTTAAAATTTACATGTGTAGGTATTTAGACATTTGCAGCTGTGAGCTCGCAGGTGATAGGCTATGGTGATGGGTACATGAGAGGCATGCTGTCAACCAAGAAAGGGAAATCAAATGGTGGATGACCTCTACTGCTTCCCAGAAGTACTGGCTGTAAGGTAGTGCTGCTGTTACCATAAAGTCCCAGGAATGTTTAATGTAACTAGTCCTGTGGAAAGCAGCACTGCATTTTTCAGTGTAGAAGCTGTGGCAGACAAAAATGCTCAGGCACTGCAAAGATTGCCTGAGAAGAATTTGTCTTCCCCTTGCAAAGGGGGGAGAGGAACAGTTAAAAGGAAAAGGAAACATATTTCCCTTCTCCCTTAGGGCTGTCCTTGCTGCCTTAGGGAAGCTAACCATGCTGCGGAGTTTCTGAGGCCGGCACTAATGTTGCTGGGGAAGAGGAGGGAGGATAGCATTAAGCTGCTTGGCCTGGGATCAAGAAAGCTGTTGCAGAATGGTCTCCCACAGAGCACAGAAAGATACTCTTGGCTGCTGCAGCTGCTGTAGCGTAGCCTCCTTCCTTCGGTCTTGCCCCCATCTGAAAAAACAGACAACAACTAGTGAATCAACAATTGTACTCTAATACAAGTAGAATAGATTTAATACAAATGTCTTCAGCCCCACTCCCCCCCCCCAAAAAACAAAACAAAACAAAACCCTAACCAAAAAGCCTGCAGAACAAGATAATTTATTTTCTTGTGGTTGCTGGTATCAATATTCATAGAATAAGTGAAGCCACCACCTAACACTTTGAGGCCACAATATTTAGGTGTGCCAGGGAGATAGCATTGTTCTATTACAGAACTGTGGTTGCATGAAGAACTGAAGCAAGTTTTTTTTTCAGTTCCCAAATTAGAGATATAATCAATCAAGACCGTCTGGCATTTCAAGAAGAGGTATGGATTTTTGACACACAATGGCAAATTACACTTTTATCCTTTTCTTCAGGAGTGTATCATTGACGAAGATTGTGAAACAGGGAAATATTGCCAGTTCTCCACCTTTGAATACAAGTGTCAGCTCTGTAAAACCCAGCATACGGTAAGTCCTGAATGAGAGGTGATTTTACGTGGTCTTTAGAAACTCAGTATGTAAGTTATTGTTGCTAATGTCAGCAAGTCAAAATTGATAGAAAACAAGATGCAAAGCTTACTGCATGAGGTTCAAAAATTGTAGAGTGTTTGGTTTGTTTTTTTTTTCTGCCTATTAACACAACTAAGTTTTTAAGGTTTCTGTTCTCATATGCTGTAAAACCTGTGCTCTGCTCCTTCTGACTCAAGCTTGACTTGTTAGGTGGCCTATGGACAGCATAAACTAACACAGTGTAGGTTGCCAGCAGAATAGGCAAAGAGGAAATGCTGTGCCAACTCTGAAGGCTCAGCTGACAGTTGGTCATTTCCAACTCTTGATTCCCAAGGAGAACTGCAGCAGCCTGCGCTCTTGCCTTCATTGACAACTTGTACACTGCTGTAGTGCAATTGTTACTGTATATGATCCTCTTACATGGATCATTTACATTATTTGAATCTGTGAACCTCAGGAAACATAAGTTCCAATCTTTTGAGCTGAAAGATAAATGTTCTTTGTAGCAGCTGTGGTTAGATTATCTTCTGTTGGTGACAGGTCCCTGAGAAGTTCAAGCTTTTTCCATGGTGAAAATCCAGTTTAAGAGCAGTCTGTCAAAAAAGGCCTTTTATCTGACTGTCCCTTTTCATCGAAGTTCTGCTGATGGCCTCTTGTGAAACAAATTAATTCCTCAAAGCATTTGCAGACAGTTAAGTCTGCAAGCAAGCAAACCTTGCTGTAAAGTCATGTGATCAATAGGATTATTACCATCTAAAAGCAATAGGCTGTTCCTGAAATGATTTAAATACTTCTCTAGGTAACATCAGGGAGTTCTATTGACTTCGGTGGATTAAATGCTTGCTTAAATGCAAGTCCTGAATATACGCTCAAGTGTCATTAAGAAAGCTTATTCTTCATATTTTAGAAAATGTTAAACTGGTAATTTTTCATGTTAACATGAAGTAATTAAAAATCAAGATTATAATGACCTAGCATCACCCCTTTTCTTTGCAGTCCTCTGTAGAAATGTTTGCAGGATAAAGAAAGTAAAAATGGGTCCTAGCTACACTCCTGTTGTAAAGTGAGCTCAGACTGAACATGGTGGGATCAATTCCCTGACCTAGAACCCCCACAATTACAAAACATATTTCTTTTTAATTAGCAGGTCTTAATAGCGCTAGCATAGTTCTACTTTTTGCCCTGCATTAAGCACTTCCTGTGGAATCCACTGGAAAAGAAATTCTGATTTTGTATGGCTGCCCAGACAGGGCTTTACACAGACAGAAAAAAGCTGTTAAAATGCTGACCTACTAGGAATCTTTAAGATGTCAATCAAACTACCTAAAATAAGAAAGCTTTTATTAGCTTGATTTATTATATGTGTATAGTTGAAACACTGGGATAATCTTCATACAAAGCTATCTTTAGGTAGAGATTTGCTTTTCTGATTTTCAAAGAAAATTCTTTTTCAAAGATTCTTAGTTACAAATGAGGTCTGGTTCTTATTCCAACTAAAAGTTGGATTTCAGTAAGATTTTTTTGCTTTGCTCTTTGAAAACAATCCTGAACAAACTGTAAATTCCTGACTGCATTTAACAATGGAAAAAAATCCATACTGGTTTCCATTGATAATGTTTCATTGATTAATTTTTGTTTTCCTTGATTGCAAAAGGATGTCCTAAAGTCCATTATTACACTGCAGGATGTCTGGCTGCTGATCAATTCTCACACAAATGCTAAAATAAGAATTCAGGTTTTGTAAGATTCAAAGTATAATAGTATAGGAAGAGTGCTGTTACTCTGCTGCGCAGGTTCCTGTCTGCAAATACTTTGATGTATGCTTGAAGTTGAGAACCTAAGCAGTTCTGTTTAAATAGTCGGAATATGACATGCATGTATTTAAAGCACATATATGCAGTTGTCTTCAGGAGCAGGGTTTAATTCTGTGTTTAGCTGTCCACACATGCAACTAGTGCTAGAGCGACAGTTTTCTCACGTGCTTTTTCCCTTTGCAAGCATTGCTCGCGGGATGTTGAATGCTGCGGAGACCAGCTTTGCGTTTGGGGCGAGTGCAGGAAATCCACTTCAAAAGGAGAGAACGGCACCATTTGTGAGAGCCAACATGACTGCAACCCTGGAATGTGCTGTGCTTTTCAGAAAGGTACAGAGGGTTTGCTTTTTATCCTATTCATTTCGTAACACAGGAGTGTGAATATTTAGCTCTTCTGCCCAAGTGAAGTGGTTAAATCTCTACAGAATCAATAGGCCATCCTCCCCCGGCCTGTGGAGCGCACCGTGTTAACTTCATTATAACACTTTAATAGAATTAAGAGTGAGATACAGTCTGATAGGGGTGCACAATGGTCAAAGAAAAGCCTGTTGCACACTGGAGATGAGAACAGCATGAGAAGCACAAAAATCTACTGTTCCTGAAGGGGAATCTCAGTAATTTAAAAGTAGCAGAACTCTGTGTTGAAATTTTATCCAATAGAGCAAAAATAAGAGAATTTAAATGAACAAAATAAATTAATGAGATTACCAAAAGTGGCTTGTCCTTCCTATCAGCAAGCAGGCCATCAGAATTGGACCGCAGATACCTTTCATACTCTGAGTTTTATATGAGCCTTCCAGGGCACCACGCTGTGCAATGCTGACTGGCCAGCCAAGATGCGGAGAGGAATGATGTTGCAGATTATGTTGTCAGACCACATGGGAATGTGAAACTTGATTTACAGAAGGGAGGGAGAGGAGGAGAAAGTATCAGGCCTGAAAGCAGTCCTAAATCCTGCCTGGTCAGGGCCCAACTTCTACTGTTTTACACTCACTAGTTCCTCACTGCTTTTATCAGAGTTCACCTTAATTTTGTAGTGACAGGATACAATTCCAATCATCTTCCTACGCCAGGTAGATGCTTCTCTAGATAGCTTTTTACCTGGCCCTTGCTATGAGCAAGAGTTGACCTTGTACCTTCACTGAGAGTTGGGCCGCCTGTCCCGCCTTCAGCCTGCTGGTCCATCAGGCTACCAGGGCATTTCAGGGAAACAAAGGAGAAAGCTCAACCACCCTTCAAAGGCAAGTGGGGCTGTTCAGCTTTTGAGCATTACATAGTGGACCTTCCACATCAAGTAAGTTTGGTTTCAGCAAGTTTTGATTAGAGCAGTTTTATTTTCCCCTTCATCACGTTTCTGCCTAAAGCATTTTTTTGGTTTTGTCAAGCTCTGCCAGAGATTTCTTTGTACTCTTTATTCTGAAATGAGGCAGAAAGAGCACTTTGAATAAACGCCTGTTACTTTCACTGTGTAAGACTTTGAATCTCTGCTCACGCTGCAGAGATGAGTAAATTGGTAATTTACATCCACTGGTGTTGGTAGCACTAGGCTAGTCTAGCATGAGGGTAATACTGCTTCTCTAGTCCCGATTTCCTGTGGGATCCAGACAACCTGCATCTTCATGATGATTATTTCAGCTGCATAAGATATTCACACTAGTTTGACTAAAAGTTAGTGCTTGGCTTGAAATGAAATTTAGTACAAACCTATAACTCAGCAAGGAACAATACAATAGATAATAATGATGGAATGATATTAATAAAACTTTAAATAAAGCTATTGATTAATAGCAATGGGTTTTTATTCTCTACAGTTGTCTATTTTAGCAGTGCTTTAGGGTTTTTCAGGTTAGGCCTAACCTCAAGGCCTAACCTCAAGGCCTTTCTCAAGGCCTACTCCATCACTAGAGTATTGCCAAAGGTTGTCCTAATAACAATTAGACTGGCTTTTACCCATGCATTTTTTATATAAAACTGTAGTAAAGTACGGAGCATTCTCTGCTTAAGATACAACCTGTTTTGGAATTAGGAACTGGTAAGTCATCTACGTTAAAGCATATAAATTTTGACCAAGCTTGTTTTAAAAACTTAAATTCTGAACTCTTCACAAATTTTATTCTGCTGTACCACAAAAAATAAGGTGAATGAAGACAAGAGGAGGAAGGGAGGTTTGATAAGAACATCTGGAAGAGCTGAATTCAAGCCCGACACTGTCAGGTACTAGCATCAGGAAACCCGAACGACATATCCTTCTAAATAATCTCTTACACAGGTTGCAATTCACTCCTGTGCAGAAACAAGGGTGCCAAGCCCCAAATACCATCAGACAGCCTTGCCTGTTGCAGAATTGCAATAACAAATTCAGTGGCTGAGGAGTAGTTCTTGTAACCTCGCTATTTAGTCTCTGAACAATTGCCCTGTATTTGTAACCTCTGCAAAGAAATAGAAGAAATAGGAAAAACAACAGAGAGTTCTAAAATGCAGGTATTTCTCTATTCAGATTTTAAACCATTAATGCTCTGCATTGAAAAGGATTCACTGTAATGTTAGTTTTCTTGGTTTTAGAATAGTCTTTCAAACCTCCAAGGGATGGAGTTGTGCGGTAGTACTGTCCTGACAGTAGTCTCTTTGTGAAGCAGCAGTTGATCTTGCTCATTAAGCAGAAACTTCAAATGTCTTACTCCCACCTAGTGGAAGCAACTTTCAGTTATAGCTCCCTAATACGTAAGGGGACTTCAGAAGGGGTTGTCTGTGTTTTTGTATCTTGCGTGTAGACTTAAAGATCAGGTCATCTCAGTTCAGTAGACAGTTAATGACTTCTCATAAAATTAATTTACTCTGGCATGCAGAGCTACTGTTTCCTGTGTGTACTCCGTTACCTGAAGAAGGTGAACCCTGCCACGATCCTTCAAACCGTCTTCTCAACCTGATCACCTGGGAACTGGAACCTGATGGAGTACTTGAGCGATGCCCATGTGCAAGTGGCTTGATCTGCCAGCCTCAGAGGTAAAGAGCAAAACTCAGCAGGCTTGAGATGTGTGAGGGGTCTCTCTCTGTGGTATGCAGATGCAGAATGAGCAGATTCTTCCCACAGTGGGAAGTGTTTTCACAGCTTTTCTCATCAGTAGCACTGAAACTTTCTCAGACTTGCTGGTTGGTTCCACACAGGTGCGCCTAATTGAGTTTGGCAACACCTTAATCTGGTGTGAATTAAATTTGTGTATTTTAGACATACTAAAGACATTTTAATACACACAGTAAATGTAAACAGGCTTGTTCCTGTTTACTGATTGGCTTTACAGAAGGCCACTTCTATCACAAGGAAAAAAAAAAAGGTTACATCTTTGCTTGCACTTTCCTTCAGTTTCAGACTAACCCCAGAAGCCAGTTTCCTGACAGCTGACTGTACAGAGCTGCTGTTCAGACCTGAAACGCTCCATACTGTGAAGACTTCGGTATCATTCAGTTTCACGGAATAGGAAGCAGGCTGACTCTGTATTTTCTGCTTAGAAGCTAAAACTTTTAATACACCATTCTTTAAAAGGACAGTTACTTGCATTATCAGCATTTTCACTGGGAGAAAGAAAGATAATTTCAGTTTTGCACTAAAAGCATTTTTAGAAAACCTACATGTTATCTATGAAATAAGCTCTCCAAGTTTGTTCCTACAATACCGTTTTCATTTTATTAACTTTCAACAAGACAGCACAGCTGTGATAAGAGATGTAGATTAGTATTTCTCTCTTCTTCTGCATCCAACTGTTTCTGTATTTTTTTCATGAGTTAAAAGTAATTGGGTAACATTTTGTTTCATAAATGTGATCTGAGGAAGCAAGCAGAGTTGATCCCATCCTTTCAGCACCAAAATTTTAGTTAACGTGCAAGTACCATTACCCTCAGGGAAGGTAAGTCAGCAAATGTCATGTCTAGTAAGAAGGAAAACATTTCAGGTGAGGATATAGAAACACAGAAATGAATTAGGGTGTTAATATAACTGAACTGTCCAGCTACAGTCATAGGAATCACTTACCTGGTTAGGGTTATCACAAATACAGTTATCCTGTGCGTACCACCTGCCCGTGACTCGCATGGACAGTAAGATAAGGCTGCTTCTGTGAATTTTAAGATTCAGATAATGTTTTTTTTTTATTAAAAGAAACAGCCCATCTCTGCTTGAAATGGCTCTTGGCTAAATATTACTAGTGAGCAACAAACACTGCAACAAGTGTTTCATTTCACTAGAGAATACAGGGACAGTCTGCCACACAGGAATCCAAAACATTCCTGAGGCTTCTTTTGTGTACATCTTTAGTTCGTTTACCCTTTGTTTCCAGTGACAGAGGCTGCAGCTGTAAGCAGCTGTTGCGGGGTGCCTGGCACAAGCAGCTGTCACCTCGCACTGTCACAAGGACGGGTAGCCCTGTTCTGTCCCGTGCAGTGCAAAGAGACCGGGTGAGCCGTGGTCAAGTTCTATCCCCCTGCCTCCTGTCAACAGATAGACACCATTCTTCCTCCCTTTTAAAGTTCTACAACAAACGTGGGTGTTTGTCTGCAGGCAACTGGAGCCACTTTTCAAAACAAAGACAGCAGCAAATACAGCTGCTGTCCTATTTAGAACCAAATATGTAATGCTCACAGTTCTCAACTCCACAGCTTGATGGCAAACAATATTTTTTCTGCACTCCTTTTCAGCTGGAGTATCGTGTTTCTTAACTCTGCATTAAGACATGAATAGAAAGGTACAGTCGCCATGAACTGCTTGTAGGCAGAAGGGCCAGATGGTGCTGAGGTCTGCTGCCATCTTGTGTCCCAGTCTCAAACATTTTTTGCTATTGGGATGTTTGTTCTAGCTCTGTATGTGGAAATCTCATCTTTAATTCTCCGGCTCTCAAGCATGTAAAAATCAGGTGTTTATGAGGTCAGCTATGGTAGATCTGACAGTATTACGCATTTAACGTGCTTTCCTGTGGGGAGGGAATGAAGTTGTTTATTAAGGAACTAACAAAAGAACATGACAAGATGTATTGCGTGACCAGACGTCTCTCTTTCCAACAGCCACAGCACTACATCTGTGTGTGAACTGTCCGCCAACGAAACCAGGAATAATGAAAAAGAAGATCCCTTAATGACGGATGAGATGCCATTTCTCAGCTTGATACCCAGAGATATTCTTTCTGATTATGAAGAAAGCAGTGTCATTCAGGAAGTGCGTAAGGAATTAGAAAGTCTGGAGGACCAAGCAGGTTTGAAGCCTGAGCCTGACTCAGCTCAAGACCTGGTTTTGGGAGATGAAATTTAAAGTCCAAACACCAGACAGTTGAGTTAGTTCTTTCTAGAATTTTTTGTCTATAGTGTCTTGCTTATATAAACCCTAAACACATATTGCTGGATAGAAGTGCAATAAACAAGGTCTTCAATGAGCACCCTTTTCTGTGCACCACACCTGCATGTTCAAATTATTGTTGAATTCATTCAGTCCTTGGACCAAACCTTCTGTCAAAGACAAATGAGAAGTATATCAGTGTTTCTTCTGGGTTAGTACTTTCCCGTTGTATGTTAGAAATAAACTGATCAGTACATGTACTCATTAAAAAAATACACATAAGCATAAACAATCTTGTTAGTGACTGCAGAAGTGACTTCTGAGTACATACGTTTAGAATAGTTTCTTTTTCTAGAGTAAGAACCATCTACTTTGTAGAGGTGTAGTCATTGATTTTAAGCATTTTTTTACTTTTTCTTTAAAAAATATAATCAGTGAAGCTGCAAGATACAGATTCTGGGTGTCATATCCCCCCACACACAGACTGTAAAAGGATGGAAAAGCTCAAGGAAGCTTACCCTCCCGGATGAATGTACCCAGAGCTGCTTTATCAGCTGCGTACAGCGGATGCCATCTGTCCTGCAGCAGCCCTCAGTGTAACTTAAGAACTGGTGTTCCACAGCTAGAGTAGCCCGTGAGTTTTATACTGTAGTAAACAATGGTCAGTGCCCCCCCCCTCCTGCCCCCGCTACATGAGGGGCATACCGACCAAAGAAAAAAGCCTGCGTTTTCCATATAAATAACAAACTGTGAACATAATTATATCCATCTAACACTGGTTTTCTATAGGAACTTTCATCTTCACTGTTCAGGGCTCTCTCAAGGGCGAAATACACTGTTTAACGCTGCAGGACAAACAGCTAAACAGGCTGAATACAAAGACTACAGATTCTCTGTTGCAGGCTGAATGCCTAAGTATCGGTACGTAAGAGAACAGCGCAGCTACAAGGTTACGCCTGAGCTAGAGCCAAGAGCAGTGCCATACATACAGCAGCATCCTGCACTACGTGAACAGAGCGGTAATGGGTAATGTTGCTTAAAGGACCTGCTGGCCATACTCCATCACCACCCACCCTTTTCGAGAGAGGCAGTGAACAAACTCATAACTCCACCGTAGCAGTAAGACAACCTAAATGGCTGCTTGCATTTAGAGACTTGTGCTTCTCCTACTTGATTCTATTACACCTAGAGAAAATTCTTTTGAGAAATGGTTTGTGCTTTTAATCCACTTCATAGGCGTAAAGCTGCATGTGTTACAAAACGTGATCATTGTTACCATCTAAACAGGTCATTGATTTAAGAAATCAATAGCAAGCAAAGAGTAGAACCCAATCCAAGCTCCCCAGCTCCCAGCTGTCTCAACAAATAGTTTGCTACAACAGCTCTCCCACTGTTAATGGTTTTTTGGGGTATAGATTTCACCATCTGTTATCGCATGTGGTAAAAGATGACACGAGGCTCCAGCCAAGTAACTTTTCATGGAGCTTCTTCCCAAATAACCCTACTGCTATGTCTAATTTGGGACAACAAAGCACCAGTAACTGAACAGGAGCAGCTACAAGACTGTGCCACTAGCCTGCAAGCCTTGCACCACTTCAGGTCTATGAGAGCTTTTCAGCAAATTCCTTGGGTACCGGAATTAACATTAACCATTATCATTAGTAAGGACATTTCTTCAGAACAGTCTGACTGTTAGTTTAAGGATTCACTCCTACCACCAATTATCATTAGTAAGGACATTTCTTCAGAACAGTCTGTTAGTTTAAGGATTCACTCCTACCACCAATCCTCACACCAACATGTGCACATGCTCTGAGAGTTCACTGAATTTACCTTTCCTTTCTATGCCTAGTAAAATTACTGTGCTCTAGCGCAGCCCATCTATACAAAGAGAAGGAATTAAATATCATTGCAATTATCCTGTTAAAAAAATACTTAACAAGAGCAGTAACTGTCTGTAAATACTGCCCTGCTTAAGGGTATCATTACGCTCCCTTTAAGTTTCTTGATGCCTCAGTTCCTGAAAGATCAACTGCTTGCACTCACCAGAAGTTCAGTAAGATTTCTGCTGAACTAAGATTAGAAACTCAAGGCTTTTTCTTTAATTAAAATGCCCATGGTCAAATTCAAAAATGTTTGAAAAGATCAGAGCGTAAAGCAGACACTGAAAAATGCCTCCTAGAACAACCCAGACTATACTGCAGTACACTTAGGCAGAAGGAAGTGCCCTACTGGACAGGAAACCATTGTAAGGATGCCCCTCAGTCCTCTATCCAGATTTCTGTCAAGACTTAACAGATTTAAAAGTACCTTCTTCAAAGTAGTTCTCAACAGAAGGTTCCTAAATAGGGCTAGATTAAGCAAGCAGTGTTTGGAATTCTTAACACTATTCCATCCCTACATTTTTGCCTCTCCACCTGTCTGAGTTGGAAGAAAATTCATGACCCATTTGATCGTTAATTTTTTTCTCTTGTCCCAATCCTCCAAGGATCCTTGAGCAGTCTTTACACATCCCTAACTGGTAGTTTAATGAAGTATTGTACCTAGTGGGTGGTACTCGCTCTACACTTCTTCTGTCTCTGCTTCCACCTCATCCCTGTTGGCCAAGAAGTGGCACAGGTCAAACAGGAAGAACGAGGGAATTCCTTTGCACAGTGCCTGGTTTTCAAACTGCCAGATTCCTCAGGATTTTTAGGTTGCTGTGGGTCAGCATGCAAGGAAGAGCTGAGTGCTCAGTTATTCAAAGTCTTTTTACTCTCTGGAGCCAATCGTATCCAGAGCTTAGAACTTTCACTGGCGAGGAATTAAATTCTGGAAAAGGAAACTTGAAGACAAATCTGGTGTGAGTATACGTAAAGAGGATCTGCACACGGGCTACAAAACATGTCCTGCAATAATGTGCACACGCGTGTGTGGGGGTGCATATACACACACATATACACACACAGCCTTACAATTCTGACATCACCTTGGGAAAGTCTGTAATTCCATGAAATAATTCCGTAATTTTTCAAATAAAAACCACACCATTTAATGATTAAAATAACACAACAGAATGAACAAATGTTTTATTGGCATGTTCATTGTTGTAAACAGCATCTGGCATGAAAAAGTTTACCAAAATCTTTTGATTGTTATAAATTAGGTGGTTTTCCAAAAACTACGGAGAATTGTTCTCTATTGATCTTTATGGACCAAAGCAAAAAATTGCTGTTCCTAGGCTTTGCAATGAAATCATGTTGACTGCATCAGTCTTTGCACCACAACCTGAACTACCAAGTCTGTATGTTGAGGTGTTAGAGGTTGCCCCAATATTTTTACTACATATAGCTACGGAATCAACTCTGCGAAAAATAAAATGACTTTCGGTGGGTGGAGAAGATGCAAACTTGTAATAGTCTCAAAAACAAAATGTACAAAAAGTAGCAGAACGAAACAAAAACTTCATTAACAAAGGGAAATACAACCCTAAAGTACCCAGCATCATCAAACATAAAATGAATACAAATTTAAATAGGCAACTATACTTCCAAACGTACACCATGAATGTTGATATGTGAAAAGAAATACCATGGTAAATAGCTGAACTGCAGTTCTGTTGAATGGCTAGGGCAAGTTTTATTTACACATTGAACGCAATACAGAGCTGCTCATCGGCTTCCATAACCTATTAAAAACCAGTTTACCTTACAACAGCACTTCTGCAAAACGCACCAACCCCGCCGGCAGCCTTCCGCAGGCGCCCCTCGCCCTACCTGTTCTATGGAAGAATCGTCTAAAACCTTACACGTGCAGCACTTCCATTTCATCTTCGACCCTTTGCTGCTGCTTTCCTAGAACCAATGTGTTAACATTTACTTCAGACTCTCTGATGAGGTAATGCGTGTTATCAGTGAAACAAACAGAAAAAAGGATTCTTTCATGGCCTTTGCACAGCTTTTATTATTAAGCTATGAGTATCCTGTTTGAGGCTAGTTTCACTAGCTACTATGTGCACACTGTCCTCAAAAATTTCCACTCGTTTCCCTCCCCGCCCACTTTTTAGTTCTAATCTTTTATTTGCACATCCCTTTTAGCTTTACAGTACATTTGACTATAGTGCACAACATGATTCCAAGTCAAACAGTGACCCAACGGGGCACTGCGCTGCTGATTGGTGACACAGCCCAACCAGTGCTGGTGTCAGCGCTTTACACCTAATGAGTGTCCTGCCGTAATGGCACTACACAGTAGTAGTGAACCTTTTCATTTTAAACAAAAAAATTCCCCAGGGAAAATGCTATAGCGAGTATCAGTCTTGAGTCAAATCTTTATTTGGTGCTCCGTCCAGATAAATTTTTAGTGCTTTTTCTTTACGGGGAGAGTAGGTTACCCGGTGTCCAGTCTTCTGGAGTCTGCTGCTTTCTTTTTTCATCAGTTCATTTCTCTGCTCATCTGTTAATTCCATTAATTCCTCTGTTTTATCCCTAAAATGAAAATAGATGTTAACATTCAGATTAAGACAACAACCATAATTGGCTTTCTGTAATTCTTTCACTTGGAGCAACTTAATAAAAACCACAACTAAGCATAATACTCCTTACAGGTTGTTTTTATTCTTCTCCAGAAACGAACAACCTGTCTATAAACCTGCTTTTCTAACAGAGACATTTGGTATTCTAACTGACAGCAGACCCAAGGAAAAGCCACAGAAACAAGCCTGCACTCCCCCATCTACCTGGGAACTCCTATTCCGTATAGCCAACGACGATCCTGCTCTTTATTTGGTTGCAGTGCCAACAGCTGGAAGCAGCACATCAGCCAGCCCCTCTCCCAAATCTTTTTCTTCAAGGCCAGCACATTATCAACCAGCTGCTGCCCCAAACTCACATGTAATTATGAAAAATACAGTAGGAGCACTGTGTTCTCGTGAGGTTGCCCTGCCCACCAAGTTTAGCAGAAATGACAATTTTCAAGCTTCACCCTCAAATAGCACC